TGATTCGAATGCGCCAATTCGCCGATTGGAGCTGTAATCATCCCGTTCTTGGAAGATTATGCGGAAAGCTCTTGGTTTGCGAGCTTACAAAATTCAACACTTGCTTGAATTGAAACCGAACGATGAATGAGCTTAAAACGTGATGGCCTAGTGGCCTGATTTTCACAAGAAAATTTTGTTTGGCGATTAAGCTGTCTAGAGTAATGATTACAGAATTTTTCGAGCCTAAATCGGAGAACATTGACGTGGAAGACCTTTGGTTACAACAGTCGCAGCAGTCGCTTCTCTGCGCAAATGAGCCCAAGACGGATGGAGCTTTGGAAGAGAATAATCAAGGCCTTATTGCTCACATACCACCACAACAGCTACAAAAAGTGGCCGGAAAGTGGGTTTCCCGGTGGTCACTTGACCGAAATCATGTTTAAAATATAATTATTTTTATGTTAAAGCTTAATTCTTTGCTATAAGATTAAATTACATACGTTTTAATTCATCTGGAAACCCACATGCCTAAAAAAAAACACCCTTTAAATTTCCAGCTAATTAAAATTTCCTTCCCTTTCCTTATCTCTTACTTTTGCTTACAAATGATTTTCGGTTTATAATAAAGTATTGTTTGAGTAGAAACGTATAAAATATAAATTTCACAATACGAGTACATAAAATAAAGATTGGAAAACATTTTGGTCAGTAACGGTTTTATCTAAAAACTAATAAAATACACTGTTATATATTGAAAAAAAAAATTATTGGTTATATTTATTATTAATCAAATGCCTTATACTTTTTAAGTACGAGTATATCTCTAAGTCCATTTTAAAAATTAAAAACAAAAACAAAATAAATATTAATTAAATTTTACATTAGCAAAAAGATTTTGATCCGGTTTAAATGTAATAAAATCAAAATGGCCGCGCATACTACTATTCCGAAAGCCCTGGTCCGACTAACATCAAAAATAGCATTCGCCCCTCGGAAGGAGGAAATGTCAAGCACTCGGAGAGTATTTCTGGCCTGAAAATCAAAGCTCATAAAAACCATAAGCCGTTCAGAGGCGGCTTAGTATATCCTGTAGATGCTTCCATTTGTTGGAAAACATCAGGGCAGCCTCCACAAATAAGAGGAAGAGCTCGGTATATTTAAGACAGCCGTTTGTGAGAGCGTTTATGGAGCCCCGTTGGGCTCCAATAAAATATTTCAATGTTCTCATATCATAATATTGACCGAAAGCAATATTTCTGTAAGGCGAAAATATTAAGTTTCAACTTTTTTTCTTAGAATCCATTTATATTAAAGATTTAAGGCTGTGTAGAGCTCCACTCACCTGAGAGTGGCCAGACCCATTATTTTGCATATAAATAGTTCAACAGTTAACGATTTTCGATCCAACACCAAGTATCCTCTAGGTGGCCAACAATCTTCCGCTTTAAGGCAAACTAAATTGAAAAGGCTAGACACTCTTGTTGCTGTGTGTAAGAATATGTATCCTCCACATTTACTTTAATGAAAGAAAAAAACCAAATAGCCAATGATTAGAGAACCCGCCTTTGATGACGTCCCTTGCAAATTGATTGATGAAATGGTGATTACGATTTGTGGGTAGAGTATCTGGTCCCTTCAATAAAAAGGTGCCGCTGTTGATTGGTTAGTTTAAGAAAGGAATACCCTAGTCATGAAAAAATTTAGTAAGCTAAGCCACATATGCGGCATAATGCGACCGAATTGTTACGGTTTTACGGTTTCTCTGTCCGATTTCACTATGATTGAAGTAAACTATTTAGTAAAAATAAGGAACAAAGAAAGCATTGTTAATACAACCAGAGAGGACATAAAGAGAGGAAGCCCTGAATCAGTGGCAAGCCGATGGAAAGTAGGAAACCGCGGCCTATACACTGCCAGATTAATAACAGCCGTCAGAGTAAAGACAACTAGGAATTTTGGCGAAGGAGACTATGTATTATATTACCAAGATGCTGTCCGGTGACGGATACTTCAAGAAATATTTATTTGTTTAAAACAGGGTAAGCCCGTCATGTATCCTCAACGATGCCAAACATACAAATTTCAGAGGCACTCACTGGCAGACTGAGGGAACAAAGTTTGAAAACACTTTTTGAAAACTAAAAGTGGAGAATATGTTCTTTGATATGCTACAAAACGAAGTAAATTAAGTAAATGCATGGAATTCACAGAAAAAGTAGAACGAGGGACGTAAATGCAGGTGGTGATACAAAAATCTGACTATGAAAAAATGGAACGCCACCCTCAATTAATGCGAAATAGGTCCCAGGGTGAGCGACGGTTCCTTAGAGAAGACAATTTTTGGGACCTACAAGTAGACGATACAAAGATGATGCGGAAAACATTTTTCTTCTCTTCATCCGAGAACCAGAAGAGAAGGCCAAGTTCTTCGGGAAGCTAACATTCCCATACCCGATTGGAAGAAATTGATATTATTTCTGTGGGCGTGGAATTAATCAATATGATCTCGGGAAGTTAATTACATTTTTAGTAGAATGGAAGAGAGCACTCCAGCTTTGAAATTATTCGATGATGGAGCGCGCTGATGGAAGCAGAGGATCAGGAAGATCTCCACTCCGTTGGTAAAGCCAGGTGGATAGTGAGTTGATTTCCCTTGGTATTTGCAATTGGGGCCGTACAGGCAGAGGATTGTTGATATAGCTATGATCACGTAAGCGGTACCTATGCCAATGAAGAAGAAAAGAATATATTCGAATCTAAACCAGCCGATGGCATCGGTTCTAGCGAGTTTTGTGTTTCTTGGCGTTCCGAATGAGTTATTGAGTGATATACAATTTACAGTAAGTACAGGCAAGTATATTATTCCGGGTGAAAAGCGCGTGCGCAAACTGCTAAATCAGGAGGTATTAGAAACGGAAAAAGTTCTATGGCTTTTACCCTCCGGAAAAGGAGAATATTGTAAAGGTAATTAGGAGCCTCACGGGAGCTCGCCTAATGGGATAACAGGCAAAAAGGATGAGATCAATTTTAGAAGATGCAGGAGCAGCAGCGGCAGAGCGGAGAATATAATAATCCACCCACTATGCGATTATCTTGCACTGGACCGAAGTGGTCTACCGAATCTGTTAGAGTCCCCTTAATGTAGAGCCTTTGACGAGTTACAGAAGCGGCTTTAAGATCAGATTAATAGTCGGGATCCCACAATGAGCCTATGTTGGCTTAAGCATGCGGCCACAATAGCTGAGTGGTTAGTTTTGCGTACCGTCATTGTAAACACTAGAGTTCGAGTTCTGGTTCGATCAACACCCAAAATTATAGAAAATTAATTTTTCTAATTGCGGTCAACCCTTGGCAAGGCACGTTAAGCACTCTCAGGGTATTTGTGAATCGAAATAAAAGCTCTTGGTGAAAATCTATCAGGCGTTCGGGCGCATACGACGAATTGGAGGAAAATCTCGGCAGAAAATAGTTTCAACAAATGGAGGAACCTACTGTTTATACTAAGCCGCCTACGAATGGCTGATGGTTTTTTTTATTAGGAACCCTTTATTTCATATCAGAAGTATACTCGGAGGGGATGAGAGGCGGCCGAAAGAAAATATTCAACTTAATTTTAATTTTTTAATTTTTCTTTAAATTAATAATAATCTATAAATTTTGGATGTTGGTCATATCCGGGCCTTCCGACGCAATGCTAACCATTCGGCTATTGCGGCCGCGGACTCTTAGACTCTGTCATATCCAATTTGATACCTCGAGCGGTTGCGACTGACGCTGGCGTAACCTCAGATGTCATCCGGGTTTCCCGGGTTCAAGTGTTCAATACGTTTCGAGCTCTCTACTAACCGCCTAGACAGTTCAACTGACGGTCTGGTTCATGTCTGTCTTAAATAAAATCTGCCAAAGCATGCAGGCATATTCCGTATGGGTGATAAATTTAGCAAGAAACTCTTAGAATCATAATATAAATGCACCCGAAGGTACTTATGCACCACTAGGGAGTAATGCGGGTTAGAGAATTTACTCTTGATAAGCCATGAATGTCAGAAGGGAGACTAAAATCCAATAGATCACGAGACAGTCGGGTCTTTTTGCCAGAACTATCAGGAGTTTAACCGACCAAGGACTGCTGTCACTTTACTACATTTGCCAAAAGCCAATTTTAGGAAAAGGTTTGCTATTCGAAGAGAACACCTTAACAGGAGCACTTATGCTGAAACTAGTTTACTCTAGACCAATGATACATTGCGACAAAAGGGTAAGTTTCTCAGTAGACATGTTTTTGTGTTCACAAAATACGGTAATCACAGTACAAACTTTGTGACGATACTTTTTCGTTATTTTGTAGGGGGTCGAAATTTCGACGTTTGGTGCGTATGATAGCGGATTATCAAAAACTGAAAGTCGAACAAATTGCTGCCGCTATACACGTTTGGGTAGGCAAAAGTGATGTCGTTAATATAAATTGGATTTGAATAACCAAATCACATAAAACATATATAAACAACAATTTTTCCAATTTTTACCGCGATTCTGGCAGAAAAATAACTCTGTTTTTGTGATTGAAGTACTAATGTAATTTAATTTGAAATTCGTATCTAGCTACAATGGTTTTTAATCGCTTTTTCGTTTGTTTTGCAGTTATAAGATTTTTAAATAGTAAAAATATTTACTCACAGTATAGGATTGGTGCACGTAAATTTAAATAAGAGTGTTTGTTATTTTATAAATACACAAATATTATTTTATGACTGTTTAGTTGTTTGTTTTCTTTCTGTTTATGTTTGTTTGTTTGTATGTATGTATGCATGTACGCGCAGTATTTGTAAGCAAGTGTTAAATTGTACGTGTGTATGTGCTAAGTAGAGTTCAAAATCGCAAAAAGCTATTTTTTTCTTTCATTTCTAATACATCTTAAACAATACGAGTATGTCTACGACTATATACTTTTATTTCTTTTTCTTTTTATAATGATTTGTTTGTTTTTTTTTTTCTTTCTTATTTGGAGATTTTAAGTCAAAAATACATATGAAATAGCATTTTACTTTTATATTTTACAGTATTTTTTTTTTCTTGTTGATATTTAATAATTACACATATATATATATATATATATGTATATATATATTTATATAAAAAATCTGTTAATATCTCGTGTATGTTTATAATATTACAATTTACTCATGCAATTTTTTTTTTAGTTTTTGCATATTTTAGATCGTACAATATGCATTGAACGTTCTCTCCTCGCTTTTTCTGCTAGGCTAAGTTAATACACAACGAATTGTGTCACACAAGTGTATATTTATGTATGTACATGCACTTGTTGTGTATGCCAATTTTTAATAAAAATACATTCAAAAAATTATTTGGATATTGTTACACGTACTACATCCAATCAGTGAAAAGTATAAATACTTAATTCACATTTTAAAGCTTTTTAGCGCCCAGCTTCATTGGACCACTACTGCGTTGCGCCCGTCGCGCTTCCAATTCACGTTGACGCTGTAATTTTTTCTCTTCACGTTTTCGGCGAGCTTCATCCAGTTTCGTATTGCCTTAAAATTTTAAATGAAATTTTAAAATATGAAATTAAAGTCTTCTAAATGGGATATTTCCAAACTATAATACTCACCCGTCAGCTGTTCATCAACAGGTTCGAATTCACCATCGGCCCAAGAATCGCTATTCCAATTTGCATTCGAATTCGTTGAGTTATTTATGTGTGGCGGACTGACGTTATTGCAATTTGTAATAACCGCTGTTGTTGTTGTCATTTGTGTTATGGTTAAATTTGAGAGCTCCTTGGGTCGTAGGTTAGGCGCATGTTGATTGTGACTTTTCGATGGTGATGTCGCTGTATGTGTATTTAGTTTAGCGAGCGGTTCAATAAGTTCATTTAGTTGCTGTGGTTGTAATTGTTGCTGATGTGGACGTGTTGTTGGCGTACCTAACGGCGCATGAGGCGAGTGCGGTGATTGTCTCGAATGCGATGGTTGTGACTGTTCCTCTTGTTCCTCCTCCTCTTCCTCACCCTGAAAAGTATAAGCAATTTCGGCTCGTTTCAAATCTATCAGAAGAAAATCTTAATGTAAACAACTTACTGGTTCCTCTTCTAAGCTGCCCCACTCTTCGTTATCCCAACCGTCGCGAACTTCATTGAGCGCATTCGATGCATTCATTTTGCCATTATTAGAAGTAACAGCCATTGGACTACTTGGGTCCTGTGATGTCTAACCAAAAAACAAAGAAAAATAATAAATAAATAAAATGAAATTGGTATTTATTTAATAAAAAATTCTTTAAAGGTATAAATTTATAGCTACGCTTGCTTACGTCCATTTCACCCCAATTCTCATTATCCCAATCGTTATTGCCATAATCCGAAGCAGACGCTGATGTATCATTGCTTTCATGCTCTAGCGATGTCATCGAAGTCACGCTTGATGTCGTCGTTGATAAGCTGCTGCTGGAAGGTTGTTCTATAAAAACACAAATGTTTATAGCACAATAAAAATCATTTTTAGCAAGTGGTTTACCCAACGACGCCGGTTTCGAGAGGTTACGACCCGTCAGTGGTGGCCGCGGACGCGAAGAATCACTTTGGCTTCGATAGAATTTCGCTGTAACAGCCGTGACAGCCCAACCAGCCCATGTAGCAGCTGCATTACCAATCGATGGTGTAGCGGTGTGCACATCGGCTTCTAAAAATGCAGTTTTCATTTATTATTTTATTTTAGTTACATATGTGTATACATATATATTTGGCCTTTTTTGTTAAAAAAATGAATGAATAAAAAATAGACAAACCCATAGTTTCACGCAAACTGGGATCTTCAGACACTTTTTCTAGTTTGCCCAAAAAGCCCCGTATCGTTTTGAAAGCTGGATCTCGCACTGTTTTTTCGGGATCAACGGTGAGAGAACATAAAGACGGCAGCACTCTATTAGCCACCTCACTGGAAATTCAAATTTAAAAGCATGAAAAAATAATAATAAATATAACAACAAACATCTACCTCAACAGGAAGTACTGTTGTGTGGCTGCAAGTGCTAAAACGCCAGCTACGCGTGCTGGGGGAAAAGGATCACGCATTGCCCGTATAAAAGCGGAAACCAGCACACGCTGTCGCACTTGTGGATGCAGATGAGGCGCAATTTTTCCCAAACACACTGTTGTATTGGTACGTATGCCACCCTGATCGTCACGTGCTTGTAAACGCGCAAAATGGCGCAGGACTTCTACATTAAGATTATTGTAGTTCAGCTTAGGAGCCAAGTGGATGATTGACTGTAGTTGAAATGGCAAGTGTTAATAAACATAAAAAAATACTGTTTTATGGTGAAATAAAAAAAATCGCCAATCACCTTGACTGTTTGCTCTCGTATCGTGGCGTTGGTATCCAAAAAACCATGCGCTACTTGTGGAAATATCTGTTCATTCACCACTTGTGGTTGTAAGTGCGCTATAAACAAATCCAGTTGTTGTAATAAACGTGAGCGTGTCACACGATCCGTTGAAGCGAATAGTTTCACAACGCAGGGTACTATTCGTTTTTGATATTCAGCTTCGTCAAGCAATTTGCCAAGCTTAAACATAGGCGCTAGCACCGCAGAGCCAGCATCACCATACTCGTACGCAGTGATTAATTGCGGAAGAATTTTATGCCTGGTAAAAATTACAAGATGTATTATTTTCCACATTTTTATACATATTTTTGGTTACTCACTTGCAAATATTATCGGGAAAATGGTCTAAATGTAATGTAAGGCCACTGAAAAATCGATTTTTCTCGGCCTTATCTTTGATTTGTATTTCTTCAAGAAAAAGTAACGTATCGACAAGATCATTTTTAAAAAATCCTCCTGGTTTACGGCACCTGGTTATGACATCCGCTGGATTGGGGCGATTCGAAGGTGAGGCGCCGACTAATTCACAATAGAGAGATTGCAACGATTTTGGTATGTTATCAATGTCTTTCAGATTTGAACGTAATTTCAATGGTCCATTGAATGATTCCCATATCAAGCAACCCAAGCCCCACATATCAACCGAGCTGTACAATGTATGTAATTAATAATTGTTTTTTTTTTTTCTATTAAATTACATACCATTTTGTGGAGGCCTTCAATTTGTTGGTATCATTTTTTTCTGGTGGGTCGTACACTTCTAAGGCAGGTGGCACTTTATGTGGCGGCATTGGATTTCCATCAACTGGCGATACATATTCCAAGCTACCCAATTTCCATTCACCCGATGAATTCACAAATACAGACCAAGCGCACACATTGTTGTGCCGTAGATTACCGTCATTATTCAAAAACGAAAGTGCACGCTGTGTAATAAAATTTATATGAAATTAAGAGTTTTTATAATGCTTTATTAGTGAAGGTATTTACTGTGATTTGAAAAACACCCCAAGACAAATAGAGCGCCTTTTGTGGAATATCCGTGGCCAGCTGTTCAAAAGTAATGCCTAACGGCTCAACTGCCTCAGTCGCTACATACAAAGTTTTCTCTGTTTCCAACGAATCTAGATACTGTAATATGCTCGGATGTCTTAACGTCTTTAAGCGCTTTAATGCTGCTTTTGCAATTTCACATTTCCCTTCCGAACCACCTCGTATATCATATACAAAAACCGATACTTCTTCTTGTGTACCCTTGCGTTTCGCCTTGTGCAATGTCCAAATTGAATGTGACTCAAAGCCGGGCACCTGTTCACCGATATCGTATGGAAAGTCTTTGCTGGAGTCGCGCGAGAAGAACGACCACATTTTCGATCGACGGCTGAATATTTTGTTGATGTTGTCGAGGACAGTGTGTTACACAAAATAGGATTTAAGTGGGGATATATCGCAAATGAAAATATTATATGTATTTATTTGCAAATGCAAGTGTATTTCATGCAAATTTTGTGTTATATTACGAATTTGCAACTACCAGCTGTCTTCTGGCAATACAACTCGAAAACTTTTTTCTTCTTTTTTCACAATTCCCCACGACTCAACAATAGCCGACAATAAAAACTTTGCTTCTTCCGTAAATGTCCTACCACCCCTCAACCACTTTTTAAGTACACGCAATCAAGTATGTCTAACAATTTTAGCTTCTCCTTCTACACTTTGTCTTATTTTTATTTCTTCACGCTCTGCTTTCGTTCTACACACAGCAATACTGAAGTTCCAAGTCTCAGCAACAATTTTTCAGACCGAATTTTCATTGAATTCATGCGTTTCCGCATATATTATTGTTTTATAATTACACTAACTATTAGATATTCACTTTTTCGGAATATTTAAACAATCATCTGAGATTTTTTGTGTATTTTAATACTTTATCAATAACTTTAACTTTTCTCCTGACGTAGCGATATGGTTCCAATTTTTTTATCATTTTTTTCTGAAAACTTGTCTGTTGACGTTTCCCATTCGTAGTCGCAGAGGTGCATTTTTTGAAATCGCAGAACGGTAATGAAGAAAATTGAAATATTGTGCAATATTTTTTAAAAGATCTTAGCTACAACTTTGTTTACTTGTAATATTTATAATTGCAAATTTTGAAGATGTGAGGACTTTAGATTTTTGTCGCAAATATGGACATAAAAGTTATTGATTCAAATCAATGATGCTTAGCTGAGGAAACACTGCCTGCTCCAACAACAAATACGAATTTGCTGATAAGAAAAGTCAACTCCATACCACTTGACATTTGCTCATCTGTTTTGATTTGCTTGGTTTATTTATTTTTTCTTATCAAAAAGATTTGGCAAATTTGGAATTACTATACGAATTCGTGCTATTAAAATGCAGAAATCGCAGGACTCGCGTGACCGCGGAGCCGAGGATCTGTGTACAGTTTCGATGCGTATCTGCCAAGAAGGACACGCAAATGCGTTGGCTCTGAATAAGGAATGCAACCAAATAGCTGTTGCGGGCAGAAGCCGTAAGCCTATTGTTTGTTTTTTTTATTTTTACCTAAAATTTTTCAGATTTTTATCTTAAAATTTGCAGTTTTAAAGGTGTTCGCGATTTATAGCGATGGATTTACGGAAGTATGTAATATGCGTGGTGGCAAAAATCAAAATCTCAGTTACTCCTCCAACGATGTGGCATGGAGTACATTAGATAGTAACATATTAGCCACAGCTGCTACGAATGGTGTAGTATCCGTTTGGGATCTAAGTCGTTTCGGACAAAAGAAGCAACTGCATGTTTATAATGAACATGAACGCACTGCACACACAGTTGCCTTCGACATACACGATCCGCACATACTGGTGTCTGGTTCGCAGGATGGGACTATCAAGCAATTTGATGTGCGCAATGAAAAGTCTTCCTATACATACTACAGCAATTCTGAGTCCGTTCGTGATGTAAAATTTAGTCCACACACACAGTATGTGATATCAGCAGTGTCGGAAAATGGCACCGTGCAATTGTGGGATTTGAGGAAGTAAATAGACTTTAATTTCAAAACGAGTTTTTACAAACATGTTTTTTTCAGAGGCGACAAAAGCATTTTACAGTTTACTGCACATAGTGGGCCTATTTATACATGCGATTGGCATCCAACGAAAAATTGGTTAGCCACTGGAAGTCGGGATAAGCAAATAAAAGCAAGTTTCCAATAAAATTTGAATATTTATGCATATGTATAGTGGTATTTAGTTTTCGCAACTGAACTTTACTAAACCTTTAACATAAGAGTATATACGTATTTGTATATATGTTTGTATATATGTATATAATTTAATTTTTTTTATAAAGATTTGGAATATGGATGGAAAAGCCTCATTAGAGCATACAATCCATACAATCGCAGTGGTGGGCAGAGTCAAATGGCGCCCTGATCGCATGTAAGATAAATCAATTTATCTAATGTTTTTAATTTGGATTTAAAATATTTATTTTTATTCATTCAGCTACCACATAGCAAGTTGTGCCTTAGTGGTGGATTATAGTATCCATGTTTGGGATATACGGCGGCCATATATACCATTTGCTTCATTTAATGATCACACGAATGTTACAACCGGTATTGCCTGGAAGGGAGACAATTCACAACTTTTACTATCTACCAGTAAGGACTCGACTATTTATAGACATGCATTTAAAGACGCTGTTCGTCCGTCATCAAAAGCAAATGCACAGGGCGCCAGTTTAGGGCATAGAGGTGATATATCGTTCGCTCGTAAAATCAAATTAACCACAACTGAAACTGTTACCCATGGCTCAAAGATTAATTCATTTGTGTAAGGATAAATTATATTGAAATAAGTTAAGTAAATATAAAATATTGGAATGTTTTTCTTTTTATTCAACAGTCGACAGCGATCCAGCAACCACGAAGACCAATTTCACTTAGCCCAATCTGATGTTTGCCAATTTATATTGAAGCCATCGGTAAAAAGAAAATTATATTTTAATTCTGTATAACTCTCTATATTTTTTTATGCTTTTCAGTACATCGGCTATTCTTTAAAAGAGGAGATCACGCATTTAAAAGAACATGAATGTTTTATTGGCTGCGCAAAGGAGCTTATTTTGAATGGCCGAAAATTAGTGGATATTTGCGAGCATAACGCTAATGTCACAAAAAAGTATGGTAAACACAATGTAAGTATGCCAATACGATTGGCAAAAATTAAGCGTTATTTTCGTAATTAATACTTTTATATAACATTTTCAGGCTACAACTTTATGGAATTTCGTTAAAGTTTTATATGGTTCCAACGAATTCGGAAAGCACGAAATACACCGCAATTCTTTTTCAAAACAAAAGAGTGTTCAGACCTTACGTCGCCCCGCACAAATTACACATGCACACGAAATACTACAATGGGATCGAAATGAGCGCAATGATAATAATAATAATGATGACATGGCCGATACGGTTGTACAACTAGATATGGATTCGACCGTCATGGGCGGTGTTAGTACTACAAGTAGTAAACAAAATTATCCCCCATTCGGCTCTGTGATACTTTCTGAAACGCAAATACTAAATGAGATTACTTTCGATAACTTCGATTTACTGCGCGAAGGTTTCATATATGTAGGGCCACCAGACTTTTCCAAAATGCATTCCCATCAGGAATCGGCGTTGCATCATGATGTGCAAGCAGCGCGGCCGCATTTAGATTTAAAAGCGGAATCCAAAGAGGCTTCACCGGTATGTTAAAAAAACAGAAAACCTGCTCTAAGATATGCTTATATTAAACACGCAATTATTATAATAACAATAAAATTTTACTCACTCCACTCAACACCTAGCCACCCAACACGCCAAGTGTGCTGAAGGTGAATTCAGCGCCCGCTATACCCATATGGGAGCCACATCAATTTGTTGCCGAATCGATAATGTTGCAAGGAGATGTTGGCGATGTACAAACAACCATTTCAATATTAATTGCTATGAGCGAAACACGCAAATTGCTTCAAATCGACGATGTACTTGTTGTAAATACATACACATATCTCACATATTTATTCATTACATACATTTTTCAACATCTTAACACGTATCTTCTTTTTAGGAGACATGGTTCCAAACTTATATCGATCAGTTGCATCGCTATCAACTCTGGAATGAAGCCTGCAAGGTAATGAATCTCTCTTGGTTGCGCGCAGTGCGTGAGTTAAATCAACAATCCACCTCGGTGCATACGAACTGTGGTGAATGTGGGCGTTCATTAGCCGGTAGTGTTGGTTGGTACTGCCAGAAATGCAAATCAATGCAATCTTCTAAATGCTCCGTTTGTGGTCTCATTGTACGTGGCCTCTACGCCTGGTGTCAAGGCTGTTCACATGGTGGTCACTTAGAGCATATAATGGACTATTTTGCCAATCATTTTAAATGTCCGAAATGTGGCCATTTATGTGAATATAATTAATGTGTTCTAATAGCATACTGAACTGCTTACATTTATATATATATATATATATATATATTTAAGTTGCGAAAGTGTCGTAATTGTGTACTTACATAGTTGAGATCGTAATATTATAGCAAAACAAAAACAATGAAAATGCAATACGTAAAGGATATTTTTATATATATACATGCGTGTATGAATATACATATATGCGTCTACATAAAAATATTTCAAAAGCAGCAAAATGTAAATGATAACCATTTGGTTTATTACAACTAGCTTATTTTATAAAAGTACTTTTAAACGGTAATATAACCACTACCTTTTAGTGCCAGCCGTGTTTGCAAGTAAAAATCAAAATCAAATTATACGGTTAAATTATAAACATAGAAAAAAAATGTATAAACAGAAAAATAAAGATATGTAATTTTTTTATAGTATGCCTTGACTGATTGTTAAATCTTTAAAAAGAGTAAAACAAGAAGGATTTACGTCCAGTTCAAGTGTCAGTCGCAAGGCACCACCGCCTACCAGCACCGCCCGCAAAGCGCATTATTTTCATCATTTTACGAGCGCTTTGCAAATAAAATCAAGATTTTAAACGCCAACACAAAAAAGAACCAAAATACAAAACAAGAAGCAAACATTTTTTTTTTTTTCAAACAGTTTTGGTTCTCTTTTCTTCATAAGCAATTATATGTGTTACAAGCGTTTACAATTTCGATTTAGGAGCGGTACTGGCGGCTAATTGTCAAGAAGCGAAATCGAGGCTCACAGTTTGACTAGTGTTGTTGGCATCGCTACCGCTCAGCGCTGTGTTATTGTGTCGCACAGCAGCTGGTCCCTCATCATAGCGTATTGTCATCGAATTAGAGTTGCCGGGTATGAGTACATAACCAAGAGATTCATAGAATTTAATCAACTTATCCTTGCAGTCTAATGACATTTTATAGCAGCCAATGTGTTGAGCCAATAGGCTTACAGTTACCACAATACTGAAAAGATAATCATTATCAAAAATATGTTCACAGAAAAAGAAAAAACAAAACGTTTGAAGTTACTAACAGTTTGCCAAGTTGCTTGCCGCGGTACGTGTCATTAACGACCACATCCTCCAAGCGGCCACGCTGTAAATGACATAAAAAATAATAATTAGTGTGTAAATTTTGAGAACTTCCATCAATCAAACATACTATCGCGCAATTGTGTATGAATTTCCGTTCTACAATTAACGAAGCTGCGCCGATAATCTCATTCTTGCGTGTATCCTCGATCACAGTAACATAGTAATCTCCGTTGGCTTTCATCTGAGAGAAGCGTGCTAATGAAATAGAAATTAGAATTAATTGAATAAAAAAAAAATCATTTATGCATCTATGTATTTTAGCATACTCAAAAACTGCGTGCGCGTAATATGCCCCACTTCGGTGAGTTGTGAAAGCAGTTGCAGGAAACCACGATCATAATCACCATCTTTTAGTGGGCGTACTTTGAGCCAATTTTCTCCAGGATATGCAGCTGATATAAACGGTTCAAACTTAGCTGGACTTTGGTGGAAGTTTAGTTGCAGCAAGATGTTTGGGTCGTAAAGATAAGTTTCTTCCTGCAGAGAATATAAAAAAATTAAATTAAATTATCGATTAAGTTTTTTTTGCACACGCATATAGAAAACACAAACATTTGCGACATTTTTTTAACCGGAAACGTAGTCGTGCAGCCAAAATATACACGCACATACTATCTACATCAGTACTCATAAAAAAAAATCAACAAACCTTTTTGTTGTTTGATATTCTTTTTTAGATAAAAGTAAAAAAAGCAAGTTGGGCACATCCGCTTACGTATATATGTACCTGTTTATAAGTATGTTTTGTTGTCTTATCTATAGATGTGTTTTTTTCGTTACGATATCAATGCCACGTAGAACATAAGCCTATTTATATCTAAACACGATTTTATGTATGAATGAATGTGTTGCTATATTTATTTTAAGCCCGTTTTAAAAATAGTAGTTACTCGGATCTGTTTTTTTTTTTTAGAATTTTTGTGTTTGTTTGTTGACACTTAATTACTGCATTTACTGTGTACCTGCATTTGTTTTTGCTTTTTATATTTTTTTTTATTTTTCAAATAAACTTTTACTTTAAGCATTCCTTTTATATTTACTCGTACCTCACTACAGCGCACCATTTTGACAAACAACCGTTTGATACAGCTTCCGTAACAAAAAAAGTTTAAAAAATAGTAATCTATACAAATATGGTAAATTTATTCCTTTTCGCTTTTTATGCTGCCAACGCAGCACTGGGCGTAAGATAAATGAAGTTGATCAAATTATTGAACAATGTCACAAGCTAGTAAAGGTAAAAATGAATTTAAAAGCGAGTAGTGGCTTAAGAATGTATACTAGCTGGCAAAGTAAGCCCATCAAATCAGGTTTTTTTTCTGTACTTTTTTGAATTAATTAAACTGTTTCACATTTCCAGCAACTGATTGGAAATAGGCTGTGTGTGAGTGTGTATATCTTTAAGAAATGCAACCGGTTTCTGTTAATAAAGTGGTAGTTCTTCGCTAGGAGCAACTTCAATGCAAAAACTCCGCTGTCAATCCACATTAGAAAAATACTCGTTACATATACATGCGTATGTAGTGGTATGCCTGTTGGATGAACCAACAGGTTGTATTCAAATTTCTATGTAGTATATCCATTTGAAATTGACAATAAAAATTTATTCAATATTCCTCATATACTAGTTCTATACACGAGTTAGTCAATTTTAAAGGCAAAAGGAGAACAAACTTGCAAGTCGGCCTTTTCCTTCCTGTAATCTCAGCAGTTGATATATTTATACATTATTCGTTATTGATTTAAACGCCACCTTCAACATTCCGCAGTTATTGACTTTTGTTTATAAATAGTTTTCAAGGTGTCCATTTACATAATGTATTTCAAGGCAGCGTTTAAACTCCTTAAACCCCTAACTATTTTGTTGTAAAGTGGAGAATGTTCACTATTTGACTTCAAGGTCAACGACACGGCATGCAAAAATCTGTAGCTCACAGTATTCTAATATGAATTTTTTGAAATTTGCGTAAGCTATTTTTTTAAATTATAATATCAATTTGAATGAAACACTTTTTATTTTAATGTAATTATAGAGACAAATGTGTACTAACCATTTTGGTCTTTTTTGTCGAAGAGCAAACCTTCCACGTGGCTTAAATTCTATATCTGAATCAAAAATAGCTAGTCAAATCGACACCTTTTACCAAGCAACTGCAAGTGCAAGAAATTAAAAATAAGAATGAAAAAAAAAAATATTTGCGAGTAATTAGAATTTCGATGTAATGCAAAAATTGAAAATGTAAACAAACGGGCAGGGTTGCTTTGAGGAGTACTTAATAATTTCCATTAAGCACAGTTTACACGATTTTATTTCAAACAATTTTATAACAACCACAAAATAAAATTTTTATAACGTTATAAACTTTATTGCCAATTTTTATACTAATTTGCATAACAACATAAAATTAAGTAAATTACAATTTTTTTACGTCGCAGCAATGTACTTGTCGGTTTTGTACATTTCATAGGCAAATTCTTCGTTGTGATTAGGATCGAATTCTAAGCCAACATATTCTATTTCTAACCGAAAGGGACCGTCCATATGCTTTTTCGCTCCAACTGAAAACCCAAAGTGTGTAACACGATCTAAACGAATCGGGCCCTGTCTATCTTGTATACGACCCTTTGAGGACAGGAAAAATTTGGAAAAAGGAATCTGGAAAAAATTACTGCTTTATACATACATGTTGTAGAAAAGCATTCATTTTTAATATTACCTTAACCATTTGCCAATGAGGACCACCGCGGGTGAAAAGTACAAAATGATACACATCATTCCATTGCAAATCGAAATATCCTTCAGTGTGAAGATTAATAAGGTAGTTACGTCCATCACCACGTATTTTCATCACAAGCGTATTATATTGTGTCCAGTCGAAAGCTGATTCTCTTTTAAAAGATCGCTAAATATATAATGATAGTTGTTTGAGTAGGAAAATAATCATAAAATTTTTAATCTATTTTTTTCTTACCCTCACTCTTTTCGTTCGAATATTTGCATAGCCGGTACGCTTAATGACACCATCTTTTACGTGTTCGGAATTTACGCTGCCATGAAATAGTCCTGCGCCAGCTGCACTTAGTTCTAGCTTTGCTATGCTTTTACCCTCTCGATGGTCAGCATCAGTTGTCACCACCCATCTGTCTAGCGCATTGTCTTCTTTAAAATTAAACACCACGTCCACTTCACCCGGCCGGTAAACTAGTATAGGATCACTCTCAAGTTTCTCTTTCATTTCTTCTTTCCATAATTTTATTTCCTCTTTAAGTTCACGAAGGCCTTCAACGATAAGTTCTTTTCTGGAAGGCAGCGTGATCTTTGTGTTGTAACCAGATTTCTTCTCTTTTTCCCAGAACGTTGAACGGATGGCAGTTGTGTGAATACAATTAGCAAGAGCGACACTTTGCGCTTGAAGGAGCGGCAAATATGTGGAGCTAAATATATGATTCGAGCAACTTCTCGTACACAATCTGAGGACACTCATTGCACCTGGTCCCTCGGATTGATTTATTTTGGTAAAACTTACCAAATAATCAACATAACCACGGAAAAAATTTCACAAAATGTCAAAATCAGCTGTTTTGGCTTGGAGCGTACGAATGACGTTTAAAACAAAATGATAAGAACAATAAAGACGCGAATTTAAATGAGATAGATAACAGAATAAAGGTAGGGAAATCTAAAAAATACACTTTTCGTTTATTAGTGCGAGTGATCAAAGTACATTGACTGGTGGAAAATAGCTGCGATTAACTATGACTTTGGATGATGTGGGAAAATGTGTTGCTCCTGGAGCTGGTGATACTGACTGGAATGCCTTGTATTTCATATTGGGACTGGTACTAATGCCCATTGCCTTGCCATTTGTGGTTATGGAATGTTGCTACCGCCTTCGAATTAAGAAGTATCGCAACGAATTGGCTGGAAAGGTTTGTACATTGACTACAAGGCATCATTTGAATATACCAAATTTTACGATATTATCCCCCAGGTTGTTTTGATAACAGGCGCAAGTTCTGGTTTGGGAGAATCTATGGCACATACTTTTTACAAAGCTGGCTGTAAAGTAATATTAGCAGCGCGACGTACACAGGAACTAGAGCGTGTAAAAACAGATTTAATGGCACTTGATGCGGTAAGTAACTAATTGACCTCAAAACTTTGCTGCAGTTATAAGACTTCATAGTAAATTTTCGTGGTTGCTAAATAATTTTAAATCCCTTTGAATGACAGTAAAAATGTTTCCCTTTAATACATATGTATGTAAATATTTTAGAGCTCTGTAACCTATCCGCCAGTTATTATGTCCTTGGATTTGTCCGACCTAAAAGAAATACCAGCTTTTGGACATAGAGCACTTGGTGTATATAATCAAATTGACATTCTTGTCAACAATGGCGGAATTAGCGTGCGTGCAACGGCTGAATCTTCTGATCTGGATGTAGACTTGAAAGTGATGGTCGTGAATTACTTTGGTTCAGTCGCTTTAACTAAAGGTAGAGAATATAAATTTTTGTTTTTACACAAATTTATTCATACATTTATATATATATATGTACATAGTTTGGGTTTTATCTTAAACATTTCAACTCTAGCTATTCTACCATCAATGATACAGCGTAAAACTGGTCACATTTGTTTCATAAGTTCAGTGCAGGGAAAATTTTCGCTACCTTACCGTTCGGCCTATTCAGCTTCTAAACATGCTTTGCAAGCATTTGCCGATTCCTTACGCTCTGAAGTTGCAAATAAAGGTGTGCAGGTTACCTGCATAAGTCCAGGCTATATACGTACAAAGCTCTCTATGAACGCACTCACAGGAGATGGAAAGACTTATGGCAGTAAGTAAAGAATATTATACGACAAACTTTTCTACATTTACTGTTTTCTGACATAGAAATGGATAAAACAACCGCACTTGGCATGGCACCAAAAAAGGTGTCCGAACGCATTTTGAACGCAATATTGGGCAAGGAGAAGGATGTCATGATCTCTGATTTGCAAGCCAAATTTGCATATTATCTGCGTTATTTATGTCCATCATTTTATTTTTGGATAATGGAAAACCGTGCGAGAAGACTTGAAAAAGAAGAAGCAATCGAACAAAAGAAAGCAAAGTAAAAAGATGAAGTGGCGTTAAAGACAGAACGTTAGATACATACGTATACTCGTAACTAGGACACAAAAAATGTATTCCTTAATAAGTGTAATCGCATATAAAAATTTTCTTTTCCCAAGCTAGAGAAAAACAAAGACTCGTTTAAAATAAAATAAAAACACGATCACTTTTTCAATTTATAATTTTTAATTCTAGTAATTACATATGTACATACATATATATATATAACATTAATGAAGATGATCACCAGTTAACGACTGAATTTCAAAAGCTTAATTTCTCTTAAAAAACTAAATAAAATGTTTTCTTTGTAGACTCGTCGCAGTAAGACTACAAGAAGAATTAAAAAGCATAACGACAAACTAATATTTTTCTTATATAACTGAAAAATTATGAGTTCCAAACGAAATGTGAAATGACCCTAATTACCCACATTGCAGCAAAGCTATTCGTTAGTTTTCGGAGTATTTGGTTGTGATTCACACACGCACTTGACTGCTCGGTAGTCCTACGAATTGGTCGATTGCTTTCTGATAATTTTAAATGTATTTTTGTTTAATATATAACTCAGTGCGGCGGCGACTGTCGTTGCGCCTGTCAAATACCAAAGCCCATGGAGTACGGGATGATCTGTGAAAACAAATTGAATTTTATAAACGAGGACACTATTTAAATTATTGAAAGTATATATCTTACCGATGTAATTCCACAGAGGTGCGCCTAAGCTTATACCAATAGTTGCCAATTGCACACCCGTATTGATTTTGCTAATAAGTGTAGGTTCTAGTTGCGCCGTGACGTATGTAGCATCGAAGTAGCGTGTAAAGGTTTTCTGGAATTTATAAAAACACAATATTCTTATAATTGTTCAAATATTGTATATACATATATATGTGAAATACTAACTGGTGGTGGTAAGCTGATATAGCGTATAACAAACCCAGCTGCCAGTAGGAAGACATCTCGAAAAAGTATGGTGCCTGCTAGCCACCAAGGCAACAATTCACCGAGACCCATTGATATAACTAACGATCCAATTAACAGTTTATCTGCCATTGGATCCAGGAACGAGCCCGCTTTACTTGCCTGACTTGGCCACCTTCTAGCAATTTGACCATCCAACTATAAAATTCAATTTGTTAGCAATGGGTGGAACTATATAAGTTATCTACGTACTTACCAAATCTGTAATACCAGCGAATACCAGCAAACCCATCGCCAAACTAAAATCCTGCTGTACTATGACGTATCCGATATATGGCGATAATATCGCTCTACCCACTGTCAATACATTTGGTATAGTCAATATATTTTCATGTTCAATCACCTCTTCCATGCGCTCCCGCACGCGCTCTTGTACCTTGTAACGCGCACCTCGTATATCTTCCACCAAAACATTTTTCCGTTCAATAAAACTTTCACGTTTCTTATCTATGACATCCTGTAATAAATGACGACCTTGCAATGTTCGCAAATGCAATGACTTCTTTTTTGAATCGGCATATTGACGCAACCGTGCTATATCCCAATTGCGATGCTGGTTAAAGTCCAAAAATGAGATGCGTATAAAACCGGTTGCTGCAGCATAGCGATTTAAGCAGTTGACACCATTTGCAGGTGGTCCGGCAGTGCTTAGACCAATAACTAAATCGGTAAGATTTTTACTAAGACCATTACGTGTGCACTGCACCTGTCGGAATATTGTTGCTGGCAGCATCTTGAAAGACTGGCGTTGAAGTATAGTCGTGCGAAGAGAAGTAAAGTTTGGGACTGCAATTAGTTTTCAATTAAATTTGGCATTAATTGCACAAGTCAATGAAATGTTAGAATAGTTGTTGTAAATATGCAATACTCCATTTGTATTCGATTAAGCAACAATGTGACTTGCCCGGCACGTACCCTGACCACAGATACACCGCGCGTGATTGCGCGTACTTACTATGGATCGATGTGTTACTTCTCGTAACTGCTCGAAAACATAATTTCACGGAATTTTCACACCCTGCCGGGACTATTTAATTAACTTATGGGTGCTTTAAAAGAAACAAACAAAAAATACTAAAAATTGATAAAATTAGACAGCTCAACGGCCTTCCAATATGATATGGGTAATCTTTTATTTTTCCTTCATACGACCTTTCGCGATCTTTCATTTCGTCATTTATTTTGATGTGATTTATAGGGTTGCATAGATTTGTGTGCTAGAAAAAACATGTATACCCTGAACAATAATAAATGTTACTATGAAAGTAATCGAAGAAATTTGAGAACAGATGATATTTCGGGGCAATAAATGTGATAATTTAAATAAAGTAAACGGTTTGACTGACTTACAAGTGTCAAAATATTCCAAAATATGGCGAAATCGTATTCCAAGCAGTTGTTCACTTAATTAGTTATTTGTAATAATTTTATATTGTACTCACGAGCAATATTGCTTATTAAAGGTTATGTAAATGCAACTCTTTTATATTAAAAAATTGGTATACGAGGTGTGTTAAAAAAATATCTTAAATTTTTTGTTTTCAAAAATTATTAATTTATACATGAATATATATTTTGTCCCCTTCAAAGTAATCCCCATGAGATATTATACACGTACACTTGTGCCAACGGTTTTTTCAATCTTCGAAGCACTTCGAAAAATCTTTTTTTATATCTTGCTCAGCTCCTCTTTCGATGCCGTCTTTATCTCGTCAATCGTAGCGTAACGTCGTCCTTTCATGGGTCTCTTCAGTTTAGGGAACAAGAAAAAGTCACAGGGGTCCAGATCTGGGGAATACGGTGGCTGCGGCATCATTAGTGTGTTGTTTTTGGCCAAAAAGTCGCGCACAAGCAACGATGTATAAGCAGGGGCGTTATCGTGGAGCATAAGCCAATTTTTGTTCTTCCACAAATCCGGGCGTTTCTGGCGGATTGCTAAGGTAATATTTCTTACTGACCGTTCTACCCTGTGGTAAGAACTCATGATGCACCACGCCCCTGCAATTAATTTTTTCGTCTGTTGTTGAAGTGCTCGGGCGTCCGGCACGTTCATCGTCGTTCTTATTTCTCGGCCTTCTGAGAACATTTTGTACCACCGATAAACGTTGCTTCGGTCTAAGGTAGCTTCTCCGTATGCCACAGCCAACATTCGGAATGCATCCGCGTTCTTAATTTCGTTTTACACACAAAATTTGATACAGGTTCTTTGATCCATTTTTTTGAATAAGTAATAATCGAAGACCATCCAAAACACGTGCAAGCAAAGCAGCTGTCCACAATTAAGTGAACATTCAAAATGGCCGAGCTTGTCGGCATAAGTGACAGATATGAGTACCAGAGAATGTAGACGTTCTCTGTGAGTACCAACATAACGCCACAAAAAAATCGAAATTCGATTATACGTAACCCGCGAAAATTCAAAATTCGCAATACTTTTTGAACACACCTCGTATATGCGCATTACTTACAAAAAACTAACATTTATCTATTATAAAAAAGTGCAAATATAAAATGAAATAAAACTTTGAAACTATTTTTTTACTGCATAAGCTGAAAAAATTTACAGAAAGAAAAAATTATAATAACTAAAAAACCTAAATTCTTTATTCATTTTTATGCAAAGTTATACGCTATTGACATTTATTGCTCTTCAGAGACGACAGACAGCGATGCTAACCAAGGTAGTTCAAACGATTTAAATGGTGCGAATGGCTTTTATATTGTTTTAAAGATATTAGTCCCCTTTCACATGCGACGAGGGAGGTGAGAAGAAACGGGAAGGGTACAGATACCTCGGTACAGGCAAGTACAGAAAGTGTGAAAGCAAATTGGAAACTCAAAAGAAAATGCAAAAAATTGCTTTCAAGACTTGACGCATGTAAAATTGGACTTACAACTCTAAAATCCGGCGGGTATTAGCTACGCGGCAACAATGAAACCGGGTTAAGTGCAAAAAAGTTACGCATACGCTGTGTCGCAAAAATGAAATGCTATACCTAACTTACTTGCGTTTTCTTCAACTCTATTGAAAATATATTTTACCTATTTTTTTTTTTTAAATTTTAATCATTTTCTTGCAATATTTATTTTGCCATCAACTAATGCAATGTAATTTATATCACAAATACATATTTACATTACGCTAGTATATGCTATATGAGAAACTATAAAATATATATAATTAACAATTGTGATAAATAACGGCTACTATTTATTTATTATTTCCATATTATGTTTTATGTATTATATTCTCATGTCATATACAATATATATATGTATGATCGTACAAATTGCAATAGTTGACAATTAATCAGTAGCATAGTTTTCTTTTCTTCAATATTAATTTAATTTATCTTAAGAGAAAGAAAGTTATATTAGCGAATTTAAGGCAATAGTGAGTGAAAGAGACTTTTATTAAGTATTTTAATTAAACGTGGAACATTTTTTATTTGTAGAGCATACATTTCATCGCTGCTATGTATAAAACATTTTTTTTAGCGCTGAATAAAATAAATAATTATAATTTAAATGTATTTTTTGATGACCCAAAATATAAATGAGACGGGAAATAGTGTTTATTAAAGAGTTTTTTTATGAAAAACGAAACGTTTAAAACTTGATTTCATGATTTATTATTATATTTAATTTTTCTATATGTTATAAACAAATGTTTATGCTTTGTACCTAGTGCACTGTACATGTGTATGTAGTATATGCCTATATTAACTAATTAATTTTTTTATTGCTATAATTATTATTTATGTGTTTCGTTTTAAAAGTTATTAATTAGAAAGAAATATTTACGATTTTAGCGCTACTTCCTTTTTAGATTTAATGTGCTTCTATAACAATATCCCTACCAATTGTAATGTCAGAGAAAGGAGAGCTGGGTGCAATTTCTTATGGACATTCAAATAAATTATATGAGAATTACATGACAAAATGCAGCATATAAATTTTACACCAATTAAATTTCATTACATAAACTACGAAAAAAAGAGAGTAACAAATTGCGCTCATGGGCTTGGTTATTTTCTCATATATATTTAGAATTAAAGTCCTTCAAAAGGGATAAAGTCAAGAAGTATTAAAAAAAACATTCCTTAATTCTCTGTTCTGTATTGATTTGTGTCTACTTTTACTATATATACATAGATAACAACATACCTTGTAGCAAATAATATATAAAAAAAAATTATTAATAATTAAGAAGCACTATAGCCTGCAAACTGTTCCGATTGCTCGTGAACTCAACATTGCACAGAACATAGTTGGGCACCACTTGGACTGCCAGCCAGGAAGGTTTTCTTATGGGTTGGGTGGAATTTTCAAGAAATCATTTACTATGTGCTGCTCCCTCACTGCTAAGCTCTTAACTCGTCCTTCTGAAGGAAGCAATAGAAGCAAAGAAGTGCCCAGCTTTGGCCCTTTGGAGGGGAATTGTGTAGCATCAACGTAACGTCAGTCTACACACACATCGAGAGTGACTCGCAAGAAGTTCAGAGAGCTTCTATAAATCCAACTTATAGTCCGGAAGTCTCACCAAGGGATTACCACCTGTTTCTGTCAATAGCGAATGATTTGGCTAGTCACAATCGATTGTACTAATTTTTTGTCCATAGGAACAAGGGTTTCTATGAGAGAGACATAATGACATTACTTTCAAATCGTATAATTCTAACTATGGTAAATAAAGCCTTCAACTTAATGCAAAAATAATGGAAAACTTGTTTTTTGACCTAATATAATATTATCATTTTTTTGCTGAAATAAAAAAATAAAAAATTAATGGGTTTGGTCATAATCGATTGCATATTTGATTGAATTGATTTCCGATCTTTGCTGGTTGTCGAAAGTCGTAGGTGGAATTCAATGACTGTCAAAATTATCAAATTCCCAGTCGAACAGATATTTGCTTTTAATACAGTGGGAAAGATGGTTTCCTTTATTGATAATCTTCAGTTTGTTAAGGAAATTTGGAAACAAAGAGACAGATAGGAAGCTCAGAGCTAAAAGCTTGTTTCAATTTTTACAAGCTACTGGCCAATTCGATAAAACTTTCATCTTCTGATGGATTGTCGAGCCTGTCGAAATATTCGTTGCATTATTCAGGAAGCATTTTAATATTATATTATATAAATATACGAGGTGTGACAATTAAGTAATGGGACTGATTCCATAGAAACCGTATATTTAAAAATTATTCTACAACTCTGCCATCCCCTTCAAAGTAGTCCCCTTGAGCAGCTATATAACGATTTCAGCGATTGTTCCATGCTTCGTAACATTTTTGGAACGCTTTGACTGGGATATATGCGAGTACCCTCACCACGGCCACCTGGATGTCCTCAGCCGACTCAAAATGGGTTCCTTTGACCACCGACTTTGTTCTAGGGAAAAAAAAATGTCACAGGGTGACATAGCGGGCGAATAAGGCGGTTGGTGCAGCACGCCGATCCCTTTAGAGACCAAATACTGAGACACGCTGAGGGCGGTGTGGCACGGCGCGTTGTCATGATGAAGGTTCCAGTTACGAGCGAGGTCTGGACGCACCCTGTTGACTTAATTTTACAATATTTTGAGTACCTGGTGACATTGGAACTGTTAAAAGTCGTTCTTTACGGATTAAAGCGCGCACACGCTGCGCCTTCATGTCAATCCGCACCTCAACTGGTCTCCCGCGCCGCGCCTCGCCTTTCACGCCCTTCCTTGCACTCTTTATGCCCTGGATTAAAGGATGCCGGGAAAAGGGAGATGCAGTTTCAACGTCGCAGGGTTACCACAATCGCGGCAATATAATCAGTCTCATTACTTTATTGTCACACCGCGTATATATAATTGGCGGTTTTCAGACCTGGTAAGTCAACCAGAAATTAACCAGAAAATTTTCATGCGTAAAATATTGGAGAATATCCATAAGAAAATAATCGATACAATCTTTTATCGATTTTAAAGCGTAGTCAGAGTTGGCAAGTACCTCTCTAAGTCGCTCGGTATCAAACGAGGTTTCCGTCAAGGTCAGTCTTTATTGAATTGGATGCTGGAGAAAATACAAAAATAAAAGGTTTAAAGCTAAATATACAGAGTTCAATTGCTGGCGTATGCCGATAATATTGATATTATTGGTCTCAACCGT